AACATCAAAATACACATAAAAACACTATAAACCTTTCTCAAGGGTAACAAAATAATACATTAGGTGACATAATTATCATGAGTGTGGAACACTCATCAATCTTCAATGCTTTGTTACATTATTTAATTGATTGGCCAACAATTAAATAATTAATTGCTTGTTGTAGTATTGGAAAGTTCACAATAAGTTAGAACTTTGCAAGGTTAACAAGCGAATAATAGATGTTAGGAATAATATGTATGACTACGCAATCTCAATAATATGTATATGAATTCGAAACAGGATTATAGTCGGGTCGTGCTTAGAATCTATTTAACTTACCTCGAAAGGGATGATTAGACATAATTGATTATCGATTATCAAGAACACATAAATACCACTATTTACATATGTTGAGAATTGAAAATAGGATAAAGATGGGTGAATTTATGAATCTAATCCATTCAATCATTAATTCATAAAAACAAACGTTTACATAATAAGTAGAATAACTTAGTATAATAATAAATCAAGCTTTTACATTCGATTTTGATTACAAATTTATACAATTCAATTTAAATCTTATTTCTCGTAGGACCATACTCTTATTATATCTATTACTTATCAATGATCTCGTAAGCTTGCGGATTTCGTATGAACATAGTGCATGAACTTTTGGAAATTCTTTCGCTTCATTATTTTCTAAAGCAGACTATCAAATATTCTCTTGGTCAAAATGTAGGGTCAAATTCAACCTCTATGATCAGGAAATTATCTTTTTTCCGTGGTCCGAATCTCGTACTTCTCCCGTAGCAATATGAATGAACATGTTATACTCTAGATTTAGGCCTTTTTTTCCCATAATTATGTTGCACGCTTGATCTTTCAAGCAATCTAACCTATGCACAATAACTTGCCGACTACTATACTTTTTGTCCTAGTCAGTGAAGGCCTAGAAGACGAAATATTTCACTCAAACATATAATGTTTGTCCACGGCTGTAGATGCATCCCAAATACAACACATTTCCTTGGGAAAATCAACCAAGTCACCAGCCCCAAACTCGACTGCCTCATTAGGGTAGACCTTCACCTTTACCTTCAACAAATAGCGTGTTTCTTTTGACAAGAAAGTCCATGGGAATTTTCTTAGAGGACATCCCACCTACATTGATATCACAATAAACATGTAACAAAGTAGTTTCACTATCCAATATCCATGTATTTTGATAACCGTTAAGTTCACACTTACCTAAACCATCAAAAGTGACTTTTTGTTAGTACTAGTTTTAACCCGTGCAAATGCCCGGGTTTTTGTTATTTTTAAGGTTATGTTAGCGTTTTACATAAATTTAATGAA